AAAGAAGAAGAAGAACATAAATATGAAACAGAAACAGACTCACAGACATAGAATACAAACTTGTGGTTGCCGGTGGGGTGGGGTGGGAGTTCAAAATTTGTAGATACTGGCAGGCATATGTAGAATAGATAAACAAGATTATACTGTATAGCACAGGAAAATATATACAAGATCTTGTGGTAGTTCACAGCGAAAAAAAAATGTAACAATGAATATATGTATGTTCATGTATAATTGAAAAATTGTGCTCTACACTGGAATTTGACACAACAGTGTAAAATGACTATAACTCAATAAAAAGTTAAAAAAAAATCACACACAAAAAATTAAATGCTAATTTCTCACTCAGTTCACAGACCAATATCCTGGTCACTGGGTTTGGGAGAGTAAGTGAGGGACTCTGCTATAAGCTACTAATAGAAAGAGCCAGGTTGGCAGAGGCTTTCTCATCAATACCTGGCTTCCAAGGCCATATTAACATCAATGTCCAGCCATCAGATGGGGGAAGAATGAAAGAATCCATGCAGGAGGTGTTTATGGACCAGGCCTGGAAAACGTGCACATTTCATTGGCTGGAACTCAGTCTTGCAGTGACACCTAATTGCAAAGGAGACTGAAAAATACAATCTGTGTACTCAGGAAGGAGAGAAAACAGGTTTAGTGATGACCTAGCACTCTTTGCCATAGTCCCACCATTTGGGCATCAAATATCCATTTTACCCTTTTCCCCCAAATACAACACTCACCCCCTCCCCATGAGAGATAACCTAAATCTCACCAGTTACTTCATCAAGTTCAAAGTACAGGGTCACCAGGTAACCACACAGGCTTCTCCATCAGGTCTGGATATAACTCCACATCATCTTGTGACCTAGTGATTCTCAACCAATGGTGATTTTGTCCTCCAGGAAACACTAAGCAAGATCTGGAGACATTTTTGGTTGTCAAGAGAGGGAAGGAGGAAGATGCTACTGGCATCTAGTGGGCAGAGGCCAGGGACACTGCTAAACGTTGTACAATGCACAGGAAAGCCCCACCCCCCACCCCAAAGAACTGTCTGGTCCAACATGTCAACAGTGCCAAGGATGAGAGCCTCACCGTAGGTGGACTAATAAGATATCTTCCCCAGTCACACCCTACATATAATAATGATCATGTTTTACAGTCGGTATTCCCAGGTGGGAAAAGGGAGAAAGGGAGATCCTGGCCCAATGCAAAGATGAAATTCTGCCTTGAGTCAGTGTGATGGCCCTGACCTGGCAGTGGGGGAGGCTCCTAGGCTAGACCTCATTTCTCCTTTCTGCAGGGAACCAACCACTTTCCCCTTGTACATAGTCCTCTGGGGTCACTGACTGTGACCTCTGGAAGTTTTTCCTCTAAGCTCACATATGAAGTTGGGTGTCAGGAATCATGCCTTCCTTGTGGAAAGTACAGCTTGTGGAAAACACAGGCTCATGATTTCTTTAGCAATACTGAAAGACTTCTGATCTATTTGCATCCAGTCAGTTCCATATGCCAGCAATACTAAAGTTCTTTCCTAGAGATAAGTCTTGATCCTAATTTATTTCTTTGCCTTTTCACCCCATGCTTCTCTTCCTCTCAGCTTAAGGGCTATCAAACTCAAATATGAAGGCCACACCCTAAATCTAATCTTTGTTGCATCATTGAGTTTTAGTGGGCCCCTGTTGCTCAAAAGCTTTTTCAATCTTATTTCCTATCCTTTGAAGTATAAAGCAGTCTATTTTTCCAATCCCTTGAGTCTCCAGATTGCTGTAGTCTCTATATTCCTCCTTATTTATGTTTGCAAACATGCTTATTATTGCACGAGCTAATCTCATTTTTCTAATATCTTGCTAAACACAGCTAGTAAACATAACCTACTAACATTCCATTTTCCAACCTCTCCTAGAGCTATGGGCTTTGTAGGCACCTTATTTGCCTTCTAAATTATCACAAGCAACTCTGTCACCAAATGTCTTGTCACTCGTTTCCATTTTCCAGCTCCTAATAATAGTTCTTTTGTTTTATACTGCCTGTCTGACTAGTTTTAGATTTTTGCAATAGCACTCTACTTTAGCAACAATCTCTGAGTTCATGTAATGCTAGCTGTTGTGTCAAACACCTCAAAAGGTCATGGTGAAAATTTGTTTCTTGCACAGTGAAAGTTTGTTTCTTGCTCACGTAACAGTCCAGTGTAAGCATTCCTGGTTAGGGGTGGGGGAGCAAAGGAATAACCCTTTGCCATACAGTCACCTATGGACCCAGGCTCACACAAGCTCTGTCATCTTCAACAAGTAACTTCAAAGGTTTCCCTTGACTTCCAATTCCAACCAGCAGATGCCAGAAGAGAGGGAGGATCACACGTGGGAGGTTTTATGGGTCAGACCTGGACTTGGTGCCATCACTTCTGATTCTATTGGTCGATGGAATTTAAGTAAAAGTGGAGTGCGCATCTTTTAGGAAGTGTTCTTAAAGAGAGGGAGCATACTTTTCTTCCTTCTGAGCACACCTTTCGTCCTTCCATCTTCTTGCTGGCTGGAACTGAGAAATGGCTGGAGCTTGAGCAGCCATCTTAGACCATAGGGTGAAAACCACATTTAAACTTATTATTATGGCAATCATTTCACAATGTATACCTATATCAAATCATTATGTTGTACATCTTGGACTAATACAATGTTATATTATGTTGTACATCTTGAACTAATACAATGTTGTATGTCAGAGGAACAAAGTTTACTGCAGGTGTGGGCAGTTCTCCAGGTGTGGACTCAGTGATCTGGGATTCTTTAATCTTGTGGCTACTACATCTTAACATAAGGTTTCCTCCACGACTATTGTAGCAGGGAAGAGAAAGGCTGGAGAACTGCTCAAAGGCTTGTCACTCTCTTATCCTGGAGATGACACATGACTTCTCACATTTTATTGGCTAGAGCTAGTCACATGGCCCTACAGAACTACAAGGGGATCCAGAAATGTGAGCTCCCATATGACCAGAAGTAAAAGAGGACCAGATATTAGTGGCATCTGGTAATGTTTACCACAAATGACATGACTTGAATTCAATAGCCTGTTGACTTCTACTCCACCAGCCCTTCTAAGGATTTCAGAAGCACAAAATTGCCTGACTGATACTCTTTCGCTTTTTGAAATAGCTAGAGTGGTTTCAGGTTTCTACAGTGAACCCTGACTGAACAGGTGTGTGCTGGTAGCTTTCTGTTCCCTAAACTCCATCACTCTCCACAATTCTGCACCTTACCCTGTGCCTCAGGAGGCCATCCTCTCTAAACTGCATCTTCCAGGTTCCCATGTCCTCCGACTTTGGTTGGTTTTAGATCATGGGAGATACCAGCAGATCAGAGAGCAGGAGCTGAGAGAGGTCAGGATATTTATCCCCCCTCCTTTCAACTCCTTACCAGACTGTGGGTTCCTTACTTTGCCCTCAGTTCTGTAAAGAGTCCTTTCATTAAAATTTCCTCATTTAAACACTTTGAGTATGATGTCTGTTTCTTGCCTGGAACTTGTTTAATAATCAAACCATGAGTCTAAAAAAGAATACTAGAATCTTCCTTCAGTTTTACTGATGCTGGAGATCTTTATATACTTCAAATCTGAGTATATGATTCCTCTGTTTTAAAACTTCAATGGCTCCCTATTATATCCCTTTCACCACACCCTACTCTAAGTTGCAGCCAGACTGAACTACTTTCAGTTCCTCTTGCAACGTGGTCTCTCTTCCTCTGAGCCTTTGTACATTCTTCCTGGAAACTGCTGCCCACCCCCACTCTCACCATTCAGACATAAGCTCAAATGTCACCTACCCCAGAAAGTCTTCCACAACCCAATTTATCCTAGTTAGATGCATTACATTCCCACAGCAGCCTCTACTCGCCCACGGTCATACATAGACAGAGTTCAATGTCACATCGTACCGCTACTGCCTGCTTACCTACTTGTGTCCTCCAGTAGACGTAAGATACTCCCCTTCCCCCATCCTTCACTTTGTCCCAAATCCTATTCAGTCTTTGAAACTCAGAACATTGGTTAACTTAAATTAATTACTTCCTCTTCTGAGTTCGAGACAAATTGCTTCTTTATTGTAAACACAAATGCTAGATTTTGGCTTTTGACGACAGATTTACCTCTGTCTCTCTCGCTAGATCTTAAAATTCTTGAGGTCAGAGAGAGAGTGTGTGTGTGTGTGTGTGTGTCTGTCTGTCTGTCTGTCTTTAAATCACTGAGTCTAGACAGTGACTGACATTTTAGGCGATTAAGAATATTTTTGTATGAATGAAGGAAGGAATAAATGAGCGAACTGGGAAGGGGAATCTCTTCAATGGCAGCCTTTCAGAGATTCCTGCAAGGGCATGTTTGGTATAACAGACTGAAAACACGAACGTTATGTAACCAAGCAGGCAACATACATTTGTAACAGCATATACATGCCTATAGAGGGCAGGTAATTGCCGTGCATCTATGGAGACTATTTTTTTTTTCCAGTTCTCGGTATGGGCAGCCAAATTTTAGAAGGGAAAGTATTATTTTAATCCCTTCTATACTCTTTTATCCTGGATGACAGGCATTAAAGTATAAACCAGAGAAAACGCCTGTAGCAGTACAGTACCTGGGTCCTCAACACAGTTCAATCCCTTTTCTTTTTCCTGCCTCCTTGTTTTATATTAGAAGGCTCGTGAATTTAAAGCACGTAAGAGATATTTTCGTTTTTGGATTTCAATTTGACGAAAACAACGTCGTGGAGATTCTGATTCCCCTATTAACCCATGACTCTCAAACCCAAGGGAAAAAATATCATTGGAGAGGGAGGGGAAGAAAGGAGGTGGGGCAAAAACTGAAAGAAGGGCCGAGAGGAAGCTGTAGAAGGAAGTTCCTTTTTAGAAGGATTTGCCTTTTTTTAACCCCAGAGAGGCGTGACGCCCTAACTGCCGTCGCGGGGCAGTTTCGCGGCGAAGCGCC